ATAGTCTCCATAGCAGTTTCCTTAATGTATCTGACTGCAATTACGACCAGAGCTGGATGAATCTATAACTGTAATCACCTTCAGAACTATGTCGAAAAGGTCTTCGTGTAATGTATGCCCTGAGAGAAGTCATTGTATTCCCAACAAACTCTAGAAACTGAATTTGAGAGACAGCGAGGGGACAACTTGAGAGAGTTGTTGGGAATACAAAAACCGATTTCTCTCTCTCTCTCTCTCTCTCTCTCTCTCTCTCTCTCTCTCTCTCTCTCTCTCTCTCTCTCTCTCTCTCTCTATTCTGAGGCGTTGGAAACACAAAACTGCATTTGTCTATTGACCTTTTAGGAAAAACGAAAGAGCAGATGAATATGGATGGAGATGGAGTCTTAACTTTTTTCTCTTTCCCTATTCGAAGTCTTATTTCCTTCCCTGCGGCCCCCCCTTCCCCCCCCGCTTCCCCCAGGGGCGGAAACTTCAGCCGCGGATCAGAGGCTTTTGAAGGTTATATTAACTTATATAACCAAGTTTCCTTTGTTTCTTTCCTTTCTTTTCTTTTTTTTTTCTCGCTTCTTTTCCCTTCTTTCCCTCAAATCTTCTTCTTCTTCTTCTTCTTCTTCTTTTTTTTTTTTTTTTTTTCGTGTGTGTGTGTGTTCAACCAACCAATTTCGTCCTGTTTCCACTTACAGATAATAATATCCCTCTTAACCCCCCCCTGTCCCAATTCCCCTCAACCCCCCTGCTCTCCCCTCCTCCCTCTCCCACCGACCTCGCCTCTTTCCTTTCCCTCATAGTTTGTACAAGGTCACACTTCTTTTCTTTCCTCTTCTTTCCTTTCCCCCTCTCCTAGGTTTTCTTTCCTTTCCCTCCCTCAAGTTTTCTTTTCTTTCCTTTCCCTCTCTGAAGGTTTTCTTTTTTTTTTTTTCTCTTTTTTTTTCCCTCTCTGAAGTTCCCCTCCAGGGCCCCATCCCCTTCTCCCCCCCTTTTCCTTTCCCTCGCTGAAGGTTTCTCTTTTCTTTCCTCTTCTTTCCTTTCCCTCATAGTTTGTACAACTGTGCTATTGTTTCAGTGCCTGACTGATTGTGTGCGCTTAGTTTAGACTGTGCTGTTGCTTCAGTGCTTGCTGTGCTTGCTGCGAGCAATATGTATCTGGTTAGCTTAGACTGTGCTATTGTTTCAGTGTTTGAGTGATTCGTGGCCACAATAAGGTTTGGTGTGCCGTGCCTAGTTAGATGGTGTTTTCCTGGACATTTCCATTTTTCTTTTTTCTGTTCACAAGAACGACAACGTCAGTAGGTCAGTAGGTTGGCAGCTTCCTGAGCCTGTGTCGTGGTAGCCAGAGGATACAGTTCAGTTCTTGGAAACTCTCTTATGATGTAAGGGATGCCGGACCCGTTTTCCGGCTTGTATAATTCAAAACCAGTCCCTGTGTGAACCAGGCCGGAGTGCCTGGATCACACGGCATTGGCCGCCCTTTAAAAAAAAAAAACAAAAAAAAAACAAGGTCACTCTTTTTCAGGACACCTCATGCTGCTTCAGTGCTTCCTAAAAATTTCCTAAAGCAGGTCAGAGCAAGAGAAAAAAAAAAAAACAGTTGGAGAAAGAAGCGTTTGGACAAAAATGGGAAGTATGTCAAAGAAACGACTCCCACATCCGCTCTCGGCAAAAGTGGCACCAACAAAAGGAAAGGAAAAGAAAAGAGCACCACACTGCCTCCCACATCCGCTCTCGGCAAAAGTGGCACCAACAAAAGGAAAGGAAAAGAAAAGAGCACCACACTGCCACCACCTATTTGCTACTGGCTTTGCCCTTGGCATCATGGTGCATTTTTGCAACCCAGCCCTTCCAATCTCTCTCCTGCCCAAAGAGAGCGCGGCCCGAGGTTATCGGATCTCTGTATTTAGGTCCAACCTTAGGTCGGATACATCAGACGGATACAGTAACTCCGAATTTGTACTTGGGCCAACTTCAGGTCAGATACATCAGATACAGTAACCCCTTGTGCTTCTATTCAGATGAAGGAAGATGGCAGTCTCTGCTGGGCATCTGTCTTAGTGACCCCTCTGATCAGTCAAGACGCCACGTGGATCACTGGATCCTACAATTTTTATTTTTATTTTCCTTTAAAAACGATCCTCGCATTTTATTTTTTTCTTTAAAAAAAAACAAACAAACGCGAGAATCATACCTTTTTTTTTTTTTTTTTTTTTTTTTTTTTTTTTTTTTTTTTTACGTCGTTTACGGAAAGAAAACCTGAGCTATATTCTATTCTGCTTCTCTCAAATTCAACTTAAAAAAAAAACAAAAAAAAAACAAAAAAAACACTACGGACCTACGGCTACCCTCCTACGCCTATAC